CGCTAATACTTGCGAATAACTAAATACATCAAAATATATGAACTTTTCCCAGTTTTTCTTATGGGCCTACTCATAGGGATTGTTTGTGTGAAGGCACTACAGATTTGGCAGCGCAGGAAATCTGTTGCCAAGTAAGCTGAGGCTTTAACCTCGCATGTTGGTTGTTCTTCACTGAACTCTCGTGTGAAAAATGTTATTTTGTACTTGGAGTGCCTTTTTGCGTGTTGTGCATAATTTGCTTCCAGAGTGTAAGATTAAACTCAAGTGCACAAAGGCATTCTTGCTGTGGATTATACTTCTCGGTACAGAGACTGAAAGCTCAGTGGTCCTTATAGGCTATTTCGCTGTATAGACAGCTACTCTGGGAAGTTGAACTGACTTAACTAAAGCACTAGAGTTAATGAGCATTATGTCCTCTATGGAACCTCACTTTCAGAGAGATGATCTTTATGCTATAATCCCTTTACAGCGTAAGGTCATTTTACTTCTGAACGAAGTTATCCTCACAGGGGATTAATACCCTTGTATGCATACATAAAACACGTTCTTATCATTAGGTTTGCCTTTGTAGTCTAGCTGTTTTGGTATTTTGGAAAACTTTTATAAGTGTCAGCAAATCCTAGCTCTTTGCAAGATAAGGACCTTTGTTTGTAGTGTTCAGGGTGGATATTAGACTCAGAAAAAGGGGCTGATTGGCTCATAGTGGGTGTGAGGAGAAGAATATATATCTTTTTAACGAAAAATTCTTCACGTTTGAAGCATGTATTTAATTTTTCATGTAAAGGAAAAATGCATTGAAGAAAAGGGAAAACATTAAAGGCTTTTGGGGTGGGGCAAGGTAAAATAGGATATTTCATTTTTTTTCCACACAGTTGAGAGAAAATTTTTGTCATAGTATGAACTGAAGTCTGGTAGATGTTTTTTGGGTATATATAGCACTTGGAAATATTAGCTGGGGAGTGATTAGGTGCTCCAATAGGAGAAGCTCAAGTAAACGCTCTAAGTGGTCTGGAGCTTTGAAAAATGTTTTAAAAATATTCTGTTTTCCTCACTAATTAGGATGAGAGAAAGTATTTATTTTTTATGCATCTTTTTATATGTTAACAAGGCATTGGATGTTTTTGGTTATACACTCTGAGATGGTGCCCTATGATTTTTAAAAACCTATCGGATATTTCAATATTTCAGATTTGTTTACATGGGCATACTCAGAAGAGTTAATCTGAATTGTTTTGAAATAGATTAATTAAATTACATTAAGCTTGTGTGTGGAAACTAATTTAGAATTCAGGTGGCCTTAATTTAATTTTGTTTACTTGCTTACAAATGTTAATTTACTTAATTAGACAAAGGGTACTTTAATTGTGTGTTAAGTGCATCAGTTCTAAGAGCGAGCATTGACAGATGTATTCAATGCACTTTTATCTAATCTGCTTTAAATTTATACCTTTAGCTGGCTCTCCTAAGTGTTTTTCTGAGTGTTTTAGTACTACATACAGCCTCATCTCAGCAAGTGGTTGTAGGAATGCGCTAGAGTTTTTTAGCTGCTCTTTTGGGCTGTTTTTTTCTGATTATGAAAAACCAAGAATAATGAGAAGTCTTTGTCTTTAAATTAAATTCACAATATATAAATAGGGAAATATTTTTAATTTTTGATAGGTGATGAAATAAGCTGAATTAACTGCTGGAAGATTTGCTTCCAAGTCTGCTGTTCCACATTGATGCTTGTCTCTTGAGACTATTTTCTTACATTTTGGAAAAGTATTTTTCCTTTGGGAGTTAAGTATGCAGCTAGTGCAGTATGTTTGCTGCGTGCGACTATTTCTATTTTTCACTGTGATTAAAAATTGTCTTTTTAATAGCATTTTAGTTTATGCTGCTTTCTAAAGCAGAAATGGGTTTCTGATGGGTGTATTGGGTAAGGATTTCCGGAGCAGGGTTTGGCTTAGGTTGGGGAACCGGTAGGCGGTAGAAGAGCTGGTCTGGGGCCTGGCTTCCTGGGTGTTATCGGAGCTAGGCAGACTGCCGGACGCAAGAGGTGGGAGGTGTTAGAAATATTTGAAGTAAATGAGGCTTGAAGGGACACAGGGCTGAAGTGGGAATGGAGGTGGGTGGAAATCCCTCTGGTACGGAGCCACATCTTAATCTGTTTTTCAGTCTCTGTTTTGGGTAAGAGTTGAAGAAATCTCATCCAACCTTAAAAAAAAAAAAAAAAAAATCCAGGAGAAGTGATGAGTGCAATACAGATCCTCCTAAATAGCTCAGCAGGAGCCGGTTTGAGTTTGGCGGGCCAAAGCCTCCTGTAGTGTATATATTATTGACATATTTTCTGTTGTCTGGTGCATGCTCTCTTCCCATACCCCTCTTCCCAGATAATGGCAAGCTGACTAGAAAATGTTGCTCTGTTGATCCAACGTCCAAACACTGGCTAAGGAACAAGAGTGGGCATATTTCATATATGGAAGTTGGCTATCCCTGCTGTAGTTTATCCTTGGCTTTCTGACTTTCTGTCCATAGGTTTTTTTCTTATAGCTTAATACTTGTGCCAGATACTTTTTCAGCATTGACTTCTTAATGCCAATGTATATATATTTAATTTAGAATTAATGGGGACCAGGTTTTCAGCCAGAAAAAAGAAAGGAAAAAAAGAAGCGGCCTGGGAACATATGGTAAATTTCAAAAAAGGAAGCGTTTACTCTGAGGAAATCTTGGTAAATACTTCATTGAATACAATAGTAGGAAAATATGTTGGAGAAGTTATTATTCTGAGTTTGTTGACTGAAGCTTTTCAAAGGTGATCAACTAATAGAAGTCTAAGTTCAATCCTGTTACCTCTTACAGGACTTTTATTGTTGGTTCTGAAAGCAAGGTTAGACCACTGCAGGAGTTTTCTACCGTGAAGTTCTGAATTTGGAGGAATATTTTATCTAAGTTGTAATAGCCATTATAGTTGAAGTACCCAGTGTAGTTCATTCGGGTGTTATTCTTAATCCACACGTTTAGCATTAATAGCAAATATGTTTGTTTCCCCTTATGTTTTGGTACAGGAGTGCACAGAGTCTGGTGACAGCGGAAGTATATTTTGTTCTGCTTATTGAGAACGTGTTCTGTCCTGATCTTGGCTAATTGCCTATGAGCAGTGTGTGACTTACTGAAATTGTGAGAAAATTTGTTTAAATGAAAATAAATACCAATATTTTGAAAACACATTGCTGTGTATGTGTAATAGCTGTTCTGCCAATCATAGTTTGGCTATTATGCCCTTGTTTGAAGATTCTCTGCGACAGATTATTTCAGGATTGATTTTTTTTTTTCTGATCTATAGTTGAATACCTTCAGACTATGACCCAAGAGGTTTGAGGTGGAGACGTAGGTCAGAAGTGGGAAACTATTTTTCATTAGTGTTGAAGAAAAGCTTTAATTCATTTCAATGACTTATTATAGTAAATGAATTTTGGACGGCTAAATATGTGAATCAAACAAAGTATTTAAGTGAGCTTAAATGCATTACAGATCCCTTGGAAATGATTTATGAAATGCTGATGTATTTGTGGCTATAACTGGTTAAAATGCAACACATGAAGTATGAGTGAAGGTCTAACATTGTGTAAATAGACAAAGTTTTAAAAGTTAAGTTTTGTTCTAGTTTGTTCCTTTTTAGTCTTTGGAGTGGAGGATGTCTTCCTTCACATCGAGGGCAGGGTTCTCTAATATTACTTGCAATATGTGACATTATGAAACAGTAACTTTAGCACAGCTGTTTTATTATGTTATGACTGGCTGTTTACCAGGATTTCTCAGAAATGGCAAATAGAATTTGCCAAAATGGCATCCACATGCACTAATATATTGCCAGTTTTTTTTGGGCGTGCTGCCACAGTCTGTGTAGTCCCAACAGTTTTCACCATGATCAGAGTTTCGAATGACTGTATTGGCAGCCCTGTTATTTGGAGAAAACAATTGTGAATTGTGTGGTGTCCTCCTTTGAGGGGTGTTACAACAGGGCCTTTCACAACGAGCAGCTCCTGCTGAGGCCCATCTCGGTGTTCTTCCGTGTGCTCTATCACATGCTTGAAACATTTGTGCTCCACCTGTCTGGTTTAATGGCTTTCCTGTGCTCAAGTGGAAGGAGGAAAGAGGGAAATCTTTATGCGTAGTTGGATTTGATTCAGTGTCAATGTTAAGGGATGAATTACCATTTCCATTGGTAAACCTCAAATTCTCGCTTTAATATTTTTTTGCTTCAGGTTAAAAAAAAAAAAAAAAAACGGATCTTTTGCCATTCATTGTCCGTCCTTCTGTAAGGCGTGGGAAAGCACAGCTATGAATGGTGTCCGTGATTATGATTCAGTTTCACAGGCTGACGGCTCATCTTGGTGCCCTACTAAACAAACTTGGTGGAGAATTCTGAAGGAGCAGGGCTGAGAAATATTTGGCTTTAAGATCAGGACCATATTCTGAGAACAGGTTCATCAGAGTTGGACTGTAGAGAAACCAGGCAGGTTCAATAGCCAAGAAAAAATACTAAATTTTGCTCCAAATCCAGTTCTAATTAGCTGCAGAAATGCTCCCTGGTCTCCCAGAATGTTTATGAAGATTTTAGAGGCCTGATGAAAATCATATGTGAAAGAATCTTGTCTTCATATACAGACTGCAGTGATCGCAAAGCCAGTGCGGTTTGGGAGCGTCATATGCTACTGCAATGTCAAGCCTAAATACTAAAGTGTGATCACTTCCAAGGACTAAGTAATAATTTTTAAATTAAAAGCCTGCAATTTAGGAATGGTCTTGTATACTTTTAAATCTTAAAATCAGTTTAAAATATATATATTTATATTTTTTATGCTGATGAGCTGCCAAGTATCTGAAGCTTTCTTTATCCACTGGGAAAATACAGAAATGTTGAGCAAGGAAAGTTGCGCTGTTGTCTTAGTCCTAATATAGAAAGGTCATTCAGAGAGTGATGCAGGTAGTTTAGTCCTTGCCTCTTTGGAGCGGGTACCAAATACAGCAGCAGGTAATACCACTGAACAACATTTGTATGTTGTTCACTTCTGCGAGGAATTAGACTGCAATTAATCGTAACTCTCACAAAGGTAGTTTCCTAGAATCTCATTTAGATGGTCACAACTCGTGGTTGCTGCTGATTTGTCTTGGATTTGAATCGGTGTCTGACGTACTCAGTGTTGTTCTATGTGTCGCCATCAGTCCCTCTGAATTGCATCTCCTTTTATAGAGGAAGAATCAAAAATAAATGCAATATTGATATATCAGTTATACCTTTATTGACATTCTTCTTGATGCTGTTTTTCAGGATTGAATGACTTGTAAATTTACTTATTTGGGGGCCGTCAGTGGTGTTTGACTGAATATTGCTGCCTCGTTCTGAATGATGTCAGAACAAGATTTGGCAGATGTGGTTCAGATTGCTGTTGAAGACTTGAATCCAGATAACCCAGGTACAGTAGAGATGGTAGTGACGACATAAGAAAAAGCGCTCACAGTATGGCCCACTAAAATGGGAGAAATCACTGCTATGCTTTTTGTAGAAATATAAAGTGGTGCTGCAATTTTTTTCTCCGAGATGGACTCATTAAGGCTATATACCATATTTCAATAACTTTACTTGTATATCTTCAAAACACTTTAAATCAGTTTTTCTTGCTTTTCTTTAAAAGGCCTTATTCTGACTGTTTTTTGTGCAGAAGTAGACCAGTTCCAAAAATATAGATTAAAATATGGTCTCTAGCAAGCTTTTGGTTTTGTTCAGTTCAAATGTGTTTTAGACTTTCCGTCGAATAAGAACTGTCACCCATTTATTATGAATCATTGTTTTGCTGGTAAAATATTTTTTCTCATACATTATTAAAATTCCTTGTTCATATAATGAAATGACAGTAAAATTGAAAGTTGTTTCTGAAGGAAAATATTGTGGTTTCCCTTGCTTAAAAGTTGATGTACTAAAGGAAAATGTCCATATTAAAATGAGGTATAGACTTTGATCCTACACCGCTATGCATATGCGAATAAGTATTAACTGAAAAAACAGTAACTACAGAGTATTGAAAATATAAGCACATATCAAATTTCTTTCTTTCTTTTTTTTTTTTTTTTTTTTTTTTTTTTTTTTTTTTTTTTTTTTATTTCTGATGCAGAACAAAAAGCAGTTCTTTCAGAAATGTTCCTAAAGAGATGGAGGAGAAACTGAGACCCATCTGTTTCAGTCTAGCCAGTAACTGGGTGGTCAGGACGATCACCTGTGATATGGTCAACCCTACACAAGTCTGTCTTTCTTTGATTTGATAAAGGATCTTGAAAACCTGGTCAGGTTTCAGCTGATGCTCTGACTGTGAGGCTGTTCAAGGTTCTACCTCTTGATTTTACCAGCAAGACCAAGCTTAATTTCTAAGTTCAGCTCATTTTTGTTATTGTTTCTTCAAAATAGTTTAGATATTTAGATGAAAGGCTGTTATAGCCTATGGGTCTGGATATCCGGGTGTTTATTTTGGAAAATTGTGGGATTTTGTTCATCTATGCTGGCAGAAGATTACCTATTGCTCACCTGAGTAGAGTGGGTGAAATCCTGTATTCTTACAGAATTTTATTAGTACTATTTATGGTTTTGCCTGTGTGAGGCTTCAGCGAGAGAGAGGAGAGCTGCCTCAAGTTTACAGAGGGAAGGAAAGGAAAAGGGCAGAAGCCTGTAGGGTCCGTCAAAGCAGAACAGCTGATGTGGCAACTCTGCTACCTCACGATAATTTCCTAGTAAATGAATCCAAGCTAGCGCTTGAGTTTTACATCTTCAGAGCAGTCTTGGATTTGGGTAAACGTTTTTTGAGAAGCAGTGAACTGTTGTCATATCGTTAAGAAGAACACAAGCAAGTGTAAATGAATACGTATAATTAGTTAACTAAACTCCCTTTTTTGTGTTTTGTCCATTTAATGTATTTTGGAGTCTTGCCGCCTTTTGTTCTAGACGATGACCACGCTTATTTTTATTAACAGTTGTATTGGAAAATCATGAAGTGACAGATGAAGATGTAGAGCCTGCTCTGAAACGTCAGCGAATAGAAATTAACTGCCAGGATCCCTCTATTAAGGTTATAATAATACCTTTTTCTGTTTTTTAGTCATAATGCCAATTCAGTTATCTTTATTTGGGAAAAATATTAAAAGCAAATGATGTTTAAAAAAAAAATTCAAAGTTTAATTACAATACTAGGATTATTCTTACCTCTCTTGTAAATGTTTGTGTGATCATTTTTCTGGATAAACTTATGAATCCTGATAATTTAAACTTCCAGTGCAAAATCAGTAGCCAATTTAATGCAATATAAAATTTAATTCAGAATTAATTCCTGTGGCTCAAATGTCACTATTCCTACATCTTTTTTTAGCAAGTGAATAAACTTAATCTAAAAGATAAACTTGAGCTTATATCTGTTTTACAATGTGCAGTTATTTCCAGCATGTTTTAAGTTATTATTTTAAGCTAAGGACATTCTCTCAGTGTTTCAAGCATACTTGGTTCAGGCCCAGTAGCTCAGGCTTTTCTGTGCTTGCAGAATTGACTGCTGCCTTTAGTGTGTTTTAGTAATGTCTTGCATTATAAACATGTGTCTTGCATTATAAACATGAGTAGTATTTTACTGTCACGCTCATTTAGTAGTGTGCGATGCTGTGTTCTTGAAATTGTCACAAAAACTGAAGCTCTGTATTAAGAGCACTGGGGCAGCAGCATTGTGAAAAACAGCCTCATAATGTGTGCAAATTGTAGCTGTTGCCTGCCACAAGATGGCATGGTTGCTGTTTGCAAAGGAGAATGTCTAACATCACCCTTTAATGACCTGTTTTCTCGCAGAAAAAAAAATAGAATATGCTTATTTTTTTTAAATAGAATTGCTTAGGAAAACAGATTTTATTTATTTGCTTTTTTTGATTTGCTGTTCAGAAGAAAACTAAAGTGAGCGTCATTTATTATATCTGAAATTATTTGTGTTGATATAATTTCCTCTGTAATCATCTGAATTTATCCATTTGGGCACAAAAATATCTTATTTAACTTTATGCAGGAGGATGCTTTCATGGATTTATAATCCTTTTGTTTTTAAATATATCGAATGAAAGGCTTTGGCATGTCATTTTTTATTATTTTGTGGTGTATGAAATCATGCTAACAAAGTGCTTAGGTGAAAATGTGTTTGGCTTGGATGCTTTTGGCTTCTATATAAAGGACTGGAAGAATGTGAGAATGCTCAAGTGCTCCAGGATGTCATCAGTTTTAAACCCAGATGAATTTTGTCACTAGGCACATTGCTAGTACCTTTAGAATTGTTCTCCAGTCACGTTTATCTGGAGCTTGCTTATGTGTATGTTGCTGAAGATAAATGCAAAAGTCTTTAAAAACAGTTTCTTTTGCGCTCTCCCCTTTCTAGTCATTCCTGTATTCCATTAACCAGACAATATGCCTGCGATTGGATAGCATTGAGGCGAAGTTGCTGGCCCTGGAGGCTACCTGTAAATCATTGGAAGAGAAGTTGGACCTTGTCATGAACAAACAGCATAGCCCTATCCAAGTCCCCATGGTGGCAGGTTCTCCTCTTGGCGCCACACAGACATGCAACAAAGTCCGATGGTAAGAAAAGAACAGATTACTCATCAGTGTGCTTTTTAAAATAACCTGAATCCTTTTGTCTGGCATCGTCAAGCTCTGCAGCTTCCTGTATAGCTGTCAGGAGCTTGGTATGCTGTTTATGAATGTAGAATTAATTTATCTTTAAGGTAAGCGTTGTGCCAGTTTCGTGATGTTACTTCTAATTTGAATGAGACTAAACACGTTACGCTGGTCCATGGACAGCTTGCAGCTATTTCCACATTTCTTTTTTGACTTAAACCAGACTAATTCATCCTTCCTTTGGAAAAGTTGCATTAACTAGTTTGTTTTTTTTTTTTTTTAGACTCACTTTGCTTTTATTTATGTGGCTGTTTGAGCTAGTGATTTTATAACTGCATTTCTTCATCACTCAAATTACTTCTCATTTTAGTTTTATCAAACAGAATGTAATGGCGTTTTAGTTTTATGTGCTTGTTTTCTGTAATCTCTGAGCAGAATAATATCTCTTTATTAGAGGTTGGAGGTGGAAAAGATGTATAAAATAATCTAATCCACTTCGAAGCAAAAGCAGATTTGACCTGGAATACCTTCGTGTATGTGTTGTCTAATATGGCTTTAAATGTCTTAACTCTTGATGTGTCTGTCATGTTATCATGTAGATTATTCCAGCCCAAGGAGAGTGTTTTTCAAGTTTTTTTTGTCTAATAACATTTTGTTCGTTCATATTTTTATCAACCTTTTCCTAGGTACACTACTTTAAATAATTCCTTTTTATTCTCCATTATGACTGTGTAGTATTCATGTACAGCTTGCACGTGTCATACCATTCTAGTCAAGATATGCTGATTTAATTCATCTTGTGTCAGTCAGTTTCTCCAGCTTCTGATCGTTTTCATCACTCCGTCTGGACTTTAATACTTGAATGTTTTTCTGAGTATATTTCTGATATGTTATGCTCAATACTCTAGTCCAGGTGCATTAGAACTATATAGAAAAAATTACTTCCTTGCTTTATGTTGTAGGGCACATCCATATGAGGTAAGAAAATGAAAACAAACCACAAAACAGCTTTTTTTGTACTAGGCCACTGCTTGCTCACTGTCATGTATATTTTTCTTTTAGTATTGCCATGTTTATATTAGGTATTTTAAGTTACAGAATGTATCTCAAGTTTATAATTGCATTTTATTATGGTATCTTTTAGTTCATGTAGTTATGAAAGAGGATGGAATATGGTCTTCTTACTGTAAAAGATTCAAAATTGGAGATTTTACAGTAAGAAGGTTCCAATGGGCTCATATAGCTGTACCTGTTGCACAACGCAAACTGTCTGTCACCTCGCTATTGTTCATTGAATGTGATTATTTCTAATTAATGTAATCTAATTTTTAGAAAGATACCTAGTCTCTATTTAAAAATCTAAAATGATACACAACCCAATGTATGTTGTTCTCTTTCAAAAGTTCCAATGTCCTTTTTATTGTTTAAATTTGAGTAGTGTTTGCTCCATTTGCTCTAACAGTCACCCATCAGGGTAGGAACAGTTAACATTTCCTCTTACTTTTACAAAACAAATTTCGTTTTAGACATCCAAATGCCATATTTAGACTCCAGTTCAGCCTTCCGTTACTGGCTTTCGTTCTTGTGCTGTTGATGATCATCCTGATGAAATAATTAATATTATGAATTAAAGCAGTGAATGCTTTCCTCTTTTAATAAATTTTACTCTTTTGAGTTTCTTACGGGATTTGTGTCAGACCTGAGATTGAGGAGTTGTTAGTTTTTTTTAATTTCGGTGGCCATCAAATATGTGTGTTAATGGTGAGCTTGGTGTTTAATCTTTTCTTTTCGGTATGTGGTCTTATGATGATTGCTTCTCAGATGATCCGAACATAATTTAGATAGAAGTCTTGAAGAGTTTTGATTCTCTGCCCCATTTATTTGTGCTATTTTGAAATTATATGTTACCAAATGCATCTTACCAAAGAACGAGGGAGGTTTTTTCTTGCAATTTATAGCCTACATGACTCAAAAGATATGTATTTCCAGATGGTATATGTGTTTAACTTCCAGATCCTTTTGGCATTAATAACACTTCAATTTCACAGTGATAGAATGTATCATTAAATTCCCTGTCTCTCCCCCATAAAAACTTTTTTCAGTTGTTGATTACTTCTAGTTACAACTGTACACTCACTGTAGGTTTTTATCAACCTTCTGTTTGTGTTCTTCCCTCCTCCCCTTAAATCGCAGATGTCAGTGGAGAGCTACCAACTTGAGTTAATATTTTGGATAGTAATCCTATGCACGTGAGTGAGATTCTTCAACCCCCTTCTCCTCCACCTTCCGCTACAATAATACCAGCCTTCCTGCTTTTAACAAAAACATGGTAGTTAGCAAAGGCATGTCAACCAGATGATGCTACGTTGTCAGCAAAGCAGACTCTCATTCTTTCTTCAGTAAATACCCTCATGTTTATGATCTGTTCCTTTCCACACTACTCTGAATTTTGTTTACAGGTTTTTTTTGTAATTTAGTTACTTGCATTAATTTGGTACAGACTTAATATAATCAAAACTTGTGTAACAGCACTGCGTATGGTATAGTATATAAAGTGTACATTAAGAATTCATGCAGGTTGGTTTAATTGTTGGTATCGGTGCTTTTTAAAATAAATGAGTTCCTTAGGACATGCTAGTTTCAAATATGCCTAGGCCATCATGTGATGAGAATGAGGAAACCTGGAAACCAGGACACAGGAGCCTTTTCCTGTGTCATCTAGTGGTGGAATTGTACAGTTATATAGCATACTAGGTGAATTCACAGCTAAGCGTTATGGCCTGCCGTGAGTATGATGTGGAACTTTATACTGTGTACAGCATTGTACATTGGCTCTTTGTAAGATGGAGTGGTAAAAGATAATCTGTCCACATAGTTGCGCTATGGAGGCACGAGTCTCACTTTGGTAACAATTGTCAGATTTAAGTTCAATGCTAAATTCTTTTCTAGTAAACTTAACATGTTGATTTATTGGGATAACGCATACTTTTTTATGTGCCAAACTGTTGTTTCCAAGTTTTAAAAATTCCTATTAGGGAAATGAAGCAGAAGTTTCAAGGAGACTTGCAATAAATCAGGAACCACCTCATGTTATTAGCTCCCAGGACAGAAATGCAGTGCATTTCAGAGTCTTATTCTGCTTTCTGTCCTCTTTATTAAACACACAGAAATGATATTTGTGGAAATCTTCCAACATCCTTTTCTATGTATGTGAAGGCTTGCTGATGTTTCTTGGAAAACTACAAAATGTTGAATTTAGAAGTTACAGTACTGCCTACTGCTCTTGATATTTTGAATAAGCATATCTTCACGAAAGCTGGATTTTGTTCTCAGAGTTCTATTGTTCCTATTGTTGACTCTGACCTGCTGTTATGGTACTTCATTATATACCAGTGAATTGCATTGCAGATATGGAAGCAAATAAAGGATTTGTGGTCCAGTGTAATGAGTAATTTTTATAAACAGTTGGGATACTGAGGAAAAATAGGCTAACTTTTAGATCTCCAAGAAAGAAGTTTAAGCTACAGCAAAAGCTAACATGAGAAAACTAAAAGAAAGTCTTCCAGAATTTGAGAGATGTGAACTGTATGGGAGGAAAAATGATAGACAGTAAACAAGACTGAGAGACTTGTAGCGGTAGTTGTATTTCAGTAAGCTTTTCCATGAATAGCAGTACTAAACAAGGCAGGTTTCCTACAGGTTTTTGTCCTGTATTCTCCACCTTTTCACTGGATGAGCCCCATGTTCTCTGTATGGTCTGTAACGCTCCCCACTGCAGTATTTTTACATCTTCCATGTTATTCCCATGATCTCCTGCCCTGTCTCCCGTTCCTTCCTGATGCTGCCTAAACTCCAGACTGTACAACTAGTGCCATTTTGTCCCAGATCACCTTTTTTGATTTCTAGCTAGTCCAGAGATATTGTGGATAGTTACTAGTCCAGGGGTAGGCATGTGCTACTGCTGTAGCTGGCAGCTGTGGTCTAATGGATGAGGACTTACTGACACTCTGGTAGTGGGGTGTTGAATATGGGTTTATCTTCACCCAAGCCTCAGATTTTAATGAAGCTAAGAGGCATGTAGTATCTTTCAGGCTGCTTTCTTTTTGTCAGATTTGGTTGTAATAGCTCAGCAGTTCCCAGAAGTGTTAGTTGGGTTTGGAGAAATGGCATAATTAAGAGTCTCATTTTCTTTGGAACCAAAATTAAAGAAGATTTTTAGAAAATGTTTTCTCAATGTTCAGTGGCAGTTGCATAAAAATATGTGGTTGTCAGGATTATCTACAAAGCCATAGTGTTAATGCAGAGGGGGTTTTGTTTCTTTTATTTGGAGGAAAGGGTGTCAGAGGGTTTCAAAACTGGTAGGATGGAAGGAAACAGATCCTTAGTTTGCTCAGAGTTGTGTTGAACTCTGGAGCTTTAAAATAGCCAAAACCAGTAGCATGAAATTTCATAAATTAGTAATGAGAGTATGTGTATTGTTCCAGTGTTCTGACTCTTGTCTGGCTTTGTTCACTCTAAGTATAGTGCTGCTTTTCTGTCCAGGATGTGATTGTCTCTCTTCCTTTGCCTTTAACATTTCCTGGCAATGTGACTATTAAAAAAAAAACCCTTAATACTTTTCTTTATGAGGTACTGTGCTGGTCAAAAATTCCAGTAGCTGCTGAAAAATTTCTTGGATAACATAACTGGTACGACAGCTGATGGCCTGTCAGTATGGCAGCCCCAAATGCTAAATATGAAATTTAGAATGTGCCCAGGTGATAAGATTTGTAAATTGACAAACCTATTGTATGACAGTGCAACTAAAATCACATTTATTCACTTTTTAAAGAATATGTTTCATCTGAAAGGTATCAGTTCATAAACAGTGTTACTTCAAGCATGTTTTCATTAACCAGGTTTTTAACTGGGTAAGCCCAAGTGTAAATGATTTGGGTTGATTGCTTCAGATGTTCTTGTTT